TTTCCGTTATTTGCAAGTTAGAGACTTCGTTAGAAAGCACATTTCAGACATTGTAATTTTTTGTTTGAATCCCAGAGAGAATTGTTAATGTACTTCCTATGAGTGGTAGCCTAGTGTGTCAAAATTGTACACATCACTGCTAGAAAAGGTTGACAAAAACACAGAGAAAATAAAACTTAACTGGGAAGAGGAAATTGGTTTTAATATTCATGAAAGCATGTGGGATGAGTGCTTGAGAAACATATACATGTTTTGTGAAGGCTAGACACAATTCAGTTCAAGGTCAAAACCTTATTAAATTTATCCCACGATTTCTCCACTCTGTTTTAATTGTAAAATGTCAGAAAGCACCCTGTTTTATTCTTTATGGTCATGTAGTATAATTCAGCAGTAGTTATTATGATTCAGCTTGTGTCTCAACCTGTTCATGATTGACAGGTGGGCGGGGCTAACCTTTGGCCTTCCGGAGGCCCTTCCGGAGGTCCCTTTGATCTAGGGGTTAACCTTTGCCCTAGCGATCGATCAAGTTGACAGTTGTCTTTGATCCGGAGGTATTATACGTCATTTTGACAGTTGTCTTTGATCCGGGTTTGACAGTTTGATCCAGGGTATAAGAAGTTATTTTGACAGTTAGTTTTGATCTGGGGAATGATTTTGCCCTATTGACCCCTGGGGGAAATAACTTCTTGCCGGGGGAAATTCCCCATCCGTGCCATCTGTCGCATTGCTGGGGTTAGTGAGAAAATAATTTTTCTAATGTCGCATATAGATTAGAATAAAACATACCAACACATTCTCACTCCCCAACTCGTCACATATGGACGCTTGGCCAGGACCCCTTGGCGTCACTTTTTAACGCACTGGGTATATCTTTGGCGTCATTTTTCAATGTGCAGGGTAGTACGATAGACTTCTATAGAAGCCTGCAGCGGCTATTTCCGGCTATTTCCCCTGGCGTTTTTGTTTAGCTTCAAGAATTTTCATTTCTGGGTGGAGTGTCCTTTTAACCAATAGCTTTAGGAAACCTTGTGTCCGCCTGCCGTACCATGGAAACAGCTCACTCATAGAGTCTGTTTCTGAGAACTTGAGCTTTCTTGGATAGAGTGCTGCCTTCCAGCTCCATGACTATCTTCTGCAGTACCTCAAATGTACTTTTCATTTCGGGTGGGTAGATTTAAAGCATACATTAGTCCAAAAAGCATTGCCGTAGCTAATGCAAAGTTATCCAAGCCTTGCAAGATGTTCTGGCCTTCAAGGACAATCCCGATGTCGTCAGATCTGTCATGGAATTTGAGAATGTAGGTCTCCTCTGTGGATTTTTGAATGAAGGCTTCATCACCAGCCTGCAGAATGCACAGACAAAATGAGATTCTACAGAACACCGGGCACTGCTCTGAGAATATTATAACAAATGTAATGTCAATCATTTAATAATGTAGATATTATGAAAAATGTGAACTTGTATATAATGAGAACCAGACAAGACCAAGACAGACAGATGACTGATTACAGATTACTGTTAGACCTCGGTTCTAGGATTGTGGATGGTAGTCCTACAATTTTAGAGCCAAGATATTTAATTGTGCAGTGGTCGGCAACCTTATGGCAAGCCAGTGGCGCAAGCCATCGGTAAGCAGGGTGCGCGGTTGCTTACGGGCCCGGACCAATCAGGGGCCCGCGTGACTGGAAGATATTGATTGACAGCCGGGGCCCCCTATCGCATTTTACTACTTTTAGTCCGATCGCATTTTACTTTATCTCGAAATTATTTGAATAAATAATGACATAAACATATTTTATTGATCATTAAATACATGTTTGAAACGAACAATGATGGATTTTGGTGTAATTTGTTTCGAATTGAGAATTGGGAATCCCCGGGTGAACATGCGTATTGCGTCACTCAATTTGCCATACTGTCAATTGCCCGTGCGCACCATCTGGATCTTAAGGATTTAATCGACAACTTTGCACAGAGGAAAGCACGGAAAATGCCGCTGTAATGCAAGTGAGCATCTTTGTTATGTTTTTGGACCTAAGCCTATGTGTGTAGTCATAGCAGTGAGTAATGTGTTATGGTCTGCCGTCAGTCACCAGTGGTTTTTATTTTGTTGTGCTCCTGATTTTGTCAGTCATCTCATCTCTTATATGTGTCATCACGTGCAGTAGTAGGGGGCCCGCCTTGATAATCCTGCATAAGGGCCCGGTGTACGCCACTGTGGCAAGCAGAGGGATAATCACAGAATGGTTTGTTGTATCTGTGCTCTAGCGCAGGTTAAACTATCACTTTATTAGTATTTGTTGCACCCAACTTAATAAAACATGCTATGTGACTGTGGAATGATTACCTTAAAATATATGTCCATTTCAAGGGACTTCATTTAAATTAAATATACACCACTTCAGCTATTATCACGGGCCAATGGTTATCCCTCCTTAGCATGCATGCCATAGGTTGCAAACCCCTTCAACAACAAAAGCTACAATTTATTAAATTGTATATTTTGGCGAATGTCTTAATTACAGTTGCGCAATTAATCTTTAAAAGATTGCGATCTCGATTTAAACACCCACACAATCCTATTCCTAAATGACGATTCCATTATGCTCAAGTGTTGGCGAGTGACTATCAATACTGCCACATGTTTTGGATGAAAAGAGGAATAGACTTTCTCCAAAAAATGCAGAAAAGTTCAAATTTATGAAGAGAATCCTGCCTTGCCTACTTAAGTAAAACATAGGAAAGATGGTCACAAACACACTTGCTGATAAATATTTTTAAAAAAGGGGGAAAAAAAACACTGACAATCAACAGAGCACTCAAGTATTAGTTATTAATTCTGATCGGAACATCCCTACCTGCAATTGTTCTTGAGATCAGATAAGTAATAACAATGTGTTGTCTGTGGTATATTTCCACTGCAAAACAAGAAATGCCGCAAAATATGGGCGCAAATTTTGAGCCACTGAAAATTCGGTCATTTTAGGCCGCAAAAAAAAAAAAAACCCAGTGGTTCTTTAAGTGGGTCCCCCACTGATCTATATAAATGAATGGATTGCTCATGGAATCCTAAACTCCCAGCAGGTGGTTAAGCCACCAGAAGTGTTCGAGTGGCCATATTGCTATTCCCAACTGACGTCCAGCCTAGTCTTACAACTGGGTGTGCGTCCAGATGGTGCAACCAACCCCAGTTCTCTATTATAGATCAGTGGCTGCGTCCGAAACCGCATACTCAATGAGTAGGTACTTAATTTCAAAAATTACTTACTTAACGAGCGCTAAAAGAGTAGGTACTTTATAGCCAAATCTCGTTGAGTATGAATCGATCCGGATATCATCCGCCATATTGACGTTATCATGTGACCTACGACGCGATATCAAAAGCGCAACAACTTAAAATATTAATTCATCTATCTGTAAATATCTTGATATTGGTGAAAGTTGCTAATTTTGTGGTAGTATTGTTGAAGAAACAGCTGCCCATTTATTTTGTGAATACATTTAGGGTTGATTTAAGTTGTTATATTTTAAACCCTACTAATGTGACCCACAGTAAACCTTATAGCCTACCGATATATTTTTTTTATCAAGAAACCCTAAAATCGTCATCTCTTGAATATGTTGTTCATTTCTTTATTTTATATCCAAACATTTTCATCCACAAGCAAAAGTAGCTTACTGCTTCGTTTTCCTCTTTTTCTTGTTGAATTTAATTGTCGTTTCATCCCTCAGGCCTATATATAACAAAAAATATATATTTTTTTAATGTATTATAATGAATTATTTAAGAAAATATATATAAGATATTCAACCTTGGTTCTTTTTTCCTGTGTATAACATCTCATGTTATGTATGCAAACCCATGATATATGGGTTATGTATCATGGGTTTGATATCGTAATATGATATATATATATATATATATATATATATATATATACCTCATTACATCAGTAACTCGACAGCCCACCTAGAACGGTTTTCCTCAGCGTTTGTAATGTCTGCACAAATGAGACGTTGGGCAGCTGTGTAAAGATTCATCTTTGGAGAAAACTGTTGATTTTATACCCGTATCATTAATATTAAAAAATAATATTACCCCAGAATGTATTGCATTGCTATTGGAGGATTACAAATTTATTTACTGTTTAATTTAGGTTTCCACTACAATAGTATATAGACGTTTATTAGTGTGAATTTTGTAACTAAGGTAAAATGTCCAAAACCTGCCTGTTCCTGTCTGTCCTGATCTTACTATTGCAAGTGAGATTGTTATCAACAACACCATTTGTCTTGGGGGTTCCTCTCAGTGCGAGAAGGTCCTGGGATCCCTGTTCCCGGGTCACATTGTTTGGGAGAGAGTCAAAACCTGATTCTTATCATCACCATTTGTCCTGAAGCTCCTGTCTCAGTGCGGGAAGCCATGCTAAGCAGGTTATACCTCCTTTCAGAGTGTCTCCCCCCTCGATGTAAAGCCCTCCCCCTAAAATGCCTATAAGATGCATGTAAAGTTACTTTAGATTAGACTTGATTGAGATGACTACAGCGACGAAATAAAGAACTTATACCTCAACAATCTCCTGGTCTGCAACTCTATCTTTTCTACACTTGAGAAGAAAAAGTTTACAACACTATCCCACCCCAAAACATAAAATAATACCAACGATAAATGCTGAGCAATACTTAATTATATTACGTTTTACTGAAAATTATATAATTCAATAAAACAAAAACAATAATGTATGTCATAAGACATAGCTATGCATGAATACACTCTAGATGTGTATATAGTGAACATATCTACATTTTCATTTAAACAATTAATTAAATAAATATATTTTATTTACTGACAACAATGAGAAATATTAATAAATTAGTAAAAGAATCACACAATAAACAAATGCATATACAAATCAACACATGAAACAAAGCTTTATTCAAACTACAATCATGTATGTAGGCTACAGGCGCTGAACCCCATCCTACTGCCATCTCAACACAGCGGTTCCCATTCAGCGGCTTTATTCTGATGAATCTGCTGACCACCAGAGGTGAGCTGTGCCTGAGGTTGTTGCGTGATGTGTTGTGCTTCACAATCTGAGGCAATAAGGGCAGGTGGAGAGATGGAGGGACTCATAAGGGCAGGTGGAGAGATGGAGGGACTCATAAGGGCAGGAGGAGTGATGGAGGGACTCATAAGGGCAGGTGGAGTGATGGAGGGACTCATAAGGGCAGGAGGAGAGATGGAGGGACTCATAAGGGCAGGTGGAGAGATGGAGGGACTCATAAGGCAGGTGGAGTGATGGAGGGTCTCATAAGGGCAGGTGGAGTGATGGAGGGTCTCATCCATGGCACCATTTCCAGGATTCAGCTCTGGGCTCCTCATCCTCAGTGCTCACACCAGTCTGCTGACATTTCAGATCCTACAAAAATGCACAAAAATAACACAAAAGCAGTCATTTTAACAGCACAATGTCATTTGATTTCAGTATTTTTTAGAAGACAAAAACGTTTTTCACAAATGCCGCCATCATCTTTCCTTGCAGGTCCTACTCCGCCACAAAAGCTGTGCAGCAAATCCACAGAAATCAAGAATCCGAAAAGTGCTGTAATAGCATTGTTTGAAATTACAATAATTAAAATAAACTACAACTTAATATTTAAATAGTTGTTGTTCTTCATTTCTGTAGTATACTCACTCAAAGCCTTTAATGGCAGCATCCAGCTTCATGAGCCACTCTCCACCGGACACACACACACACACACACACACACAGCTTTGTTTTTGTGATATATGAGGACATTCCATAGGCGTAATGACTTTTATACTGGACAAACTGTATATTCTATCCCCCTACACTGCCCCTATCCCTAAACCTACCCATCACAGGAGACATGCTGCATTTTTACATTTAAAAAAAAACATTGTTTTTTATGTTTTTTAAGCTATTTGAAATATGAGGACTCATGCAATGTCCTCATATATCACGTGTAAGTTGTAATACCAGTGTAATATGCATGTCATTATACACATTTGTGTCCTCATATATCACAAAAACAAACACACACACACACACACACACACATCTGTTCATCTGTCCCTGTAACATCCTGACAAGATTCACATAACCTCTGTGATTTATGAGCTCAACCCTACATTTACATGTTGAGGTTGTTTAAACTTTTTATCCAACATAAATGTTCCTCAATTTATCAACAGTACTATGGAGAAATAAAATAGATAACTAATGTTTAGTTATAGATTTGTTCTACATAATAGCACACACACATCACTCAGATGTCTATTATATGTTGTGATGTGCACTTCTGCAATACTTATTGAAGATTTTCCTGTCAGATGTAAATAGACATTTAAAATAAGCGTCTTTAAGATGTATGGTTTATGTAAATCCACTTTAGAGACGTAACTTACGTGTCCTTACTGGAGCTCCCCTGATAGCGATACATAATAAAACGTGTTTTTACAACAAAATCACAACTACACTATACTGTCTGATGTCTTTACACCTTCAACAATTCAACAGTTTACTGTACAGTAGTTCAACACAGGCCATTTGAACACAATGAACCGTGTTTACTCACATTTGAAAACCCCCGCGTCGCTGATCTCCGCGATTGTTGATAATGACGTATCCTCTCGCGTGGCCTCCTGGGATAGAAGAGTATCCACAGTATCCATCGGTTGAGCAGAGCACTCAAAAATCTGGCCGAAAGCAGTAGGTCATCCGGGAACTTCTCGCCTACTCTTTTATGAATACTGATGTTTCGGACATACTACTCCTTTCACGTACTGTTTTCGCCTACTATATAGTAGGAAAGTAGGCATATTCGAACGCACTTTAGGTATACGTACGTCCGAATCTCGCGATAATTAATACGTCACCCAGGTAATTCTCGCCTACTCTTTTATGATTCGTACATACTTTTCGCTCGCCTACTCTTTTTCCCATACTATATAGTAGGGAAGTATGCGGTTTCGGACGCAGCCACTGTCTTCCCCAATAAAATGTGTATACACAAAATAAATCCTAACATACTTGAGCCATGGGTTCCATGATGGTCTGCAATCTTCTTCCCATCTGCCCTCCTAGCCTTTGAAAGACTTTTAGAAGTTTGTCAGACAGCAAATCGATCTGTGACAAAAATCTGGACTGTAGGGACATGGTGGTAATGCGCTTAAATTCAGCATTAATCTGAAAACAAAATAAATAAAATCAATGCATTTCAAAATACAGCATCTATATATTTAATAATATGCCTCTAATAATGTTCTTAATATCTCCTTCATGTGACAGGGCATCACAGACAGCAGCTAAAATAGTTTACTTTAAATTAAATGAAAATTAAATTATATACACTTTATGTAATCAAATAATAACTGGGTGGAAATTGGACACTGATTTTTTATTTATAAAGGCTGTAATAATCAAAGAAAAAAAATCTGCTTAGCATTTATTAATTTGAAAATAATTACTATTTTTCTTTTTTTCATAAAACCAAAACAAAAAACAGTGGCATTATGTAAACAAACCAGCATTTAAAGTGTTACAATTCTGAACATTAATACATGTTTGGTCATTATGATTAGAGCTGATGCTGGTTAAAAAATGATGTCAGTGAAAGTGGAAAAAATATATAAATCTATTAATATTTTTATGACAGTTTTGGATATTTTTGTCCATAATGAACCTGTGTAACTTTTTTTTAATTGATGCACAAGGGTTAATGAAATCATAGTCTTTTGAAGGTTAATAATCACATTAGGCAGTATCGCGATTTATATTTTTTCATCTTCAAAATATAAGATGCCTTAAAATGATCGTTTGTTATACCATTTAAGGTAGCCTATTGAATACTTTCTTACACTAAGAAAACTGATCCGCAGGGACTTTTTTATTTGTGCTCCAAAATACATTTTACACTTCGCACACATCTATTTTTAGTCGCAAATGCGAGTGAAATGGTTGCACTGTCGAGCCATGACTTGGATAGACTTAATGATAATTCCGATAGCACGTGAAGATCATTAGCATTAGAGAGCCAAGCATGTCACTGCAACTGGAGCTAGGCATAGGCTTCAGTTGCCATAGAAACCGTTTCGGCTGTACGCAGTCTTTTATTTTTACATTTTACTTTATTTCAGTTAAGACCATGTAAGACTTTGGTGCGGATTTGAAATATGTCAGTAAAAAAGAATTGTGTTGATTTGTTCTGTTTCCCAAAAGAATCACAAAAAGGACGTACAGTATGATTTGGTCTGATGTCATCATTTGACAGGAAATACTTCATCAGTGACTCATTTTGAACACTGGAAATATTAACTAATGTTGATCTGATGGTAGAATGAGTGTTGTATCATGGCATATGTTTCTCGCATTGAATGCAGATCTTCATACATATTTAATATGGTGGTGTTTTGTGTTTGTGTCTGTATGATGATCTCTCACACACAAGAGCACTCACTGCTTAACTGATACACGAATTATTAATAAATGATCTTACCGATTTCTGTGCTCTTTTTTGTAGATCGCTGGCTCGACGTAGATGATTTCTTCTTCATGAGTCTCAACTGTTTCAGTGATAATAAGATGTAATACAATAAATAGATGGATTAAAACAACAAAACTCAATGTTAGTCTAGATCTGTTTCTTTACAGCATAATGATATTATGGCTGTTGGCCTCATTGATCTGAGATTATGCACCTCAGTTTTTGAGTGAAACATCCTGTGTTAGTTAAAAGAAACCCATAGTTTGAATCCCATATTTGGTAATAAAATAGCATAAAGATAAAATTATAAACACATTTTTGGGGGCCGGTCATTTTTTAACAGGAACACCATAAGTGTAACAAGTACAAAAAGTATAAAAATGTTGGGGGGATGTTGTTATATCTTGTGTGCGCAAAGTCAGTTTTTAGCCCAATGCGATAACATTAACATTGTAGAGTATGAATGAAGAATCATGAATTCATTAATTCTGAACGCCATGCACACATTCTTGCGAACGGTTTCTAAAGCCCACAACCTGTGACTCATCCAATCTAAATCATCAGCTAGCGCCAGCAAGTCTGAAGTTTAAATTGATTCCTGACACCTGTAGTGGATTTTTCCCTAAACCTAACTAAATCTTGTCGCGTCTACAATCGACACTGACCAAAAAACCTGTCGCGTCTACAAATCGACACTGACCAAAACAATCTGTCTCGTCTACAAATCGACACTGACTAAAAAATCTGTCGAGTCTACAAATCGACACTGACTACTTTACTCTGGCTCTTCGCGTCTACCTCCGACAACTGGCCGAGTCTCTTACTCTAACTTACTTGTGTCCCTAAACTGACCTGCTGTGCAGCAGTAATATCAGACAGACTCCAGAAAATGTCCTTTAAATGCTTTTAATTACGGCCAGGAGAGTTCTCGAGCAATACTCAGAGAATCTCCCAAGTAAAAAAAGGCCGGTGGATCTCAGACAAATTCCATTGAGAATCCCCCCGAAAACACTGATTCAACAGTTTTTATACAATAGGGAGGTATGTCAAATGACATTAATATGATTGGTTCTTCATTTACAGTCTCTTCTGTTACTGGGTAGAGGAGACTTTGTTTTAATGATTACTTCATTGATCACAAGTTCTAACCTAGTCATCTGTCTAGTTTCATTTCCCATATTTGTTATTTATACTCACAGTCAGGTATTTGACACACATAGCTACATTCATCTAAAGTACAGAATGTCTTAGTACATTGTCTCAGAGATTTAGCAGGTTAAATGAGGTGAAATATTAAAAACATGGTTAGTTTAATATACAGTTTAAAATTTATATGACAGTTCCCCTCTCTGGCCGTTATCAAACACGGCCATAATTAAATTTGAATTCTAATCAATTTTCCATACCTGCATGATCCCATTATAAGTCAGTGACTTTAATACCACCTGTTATCTTTAACCATTTTCATGTTTCTCTTTATAATACCTTTAAGATATTCCTTCAATCAACATCCTAAGCTGTAATGAAAATACAACCAATTTCCAATGTTATCACATACACATACCATCTTACCATCTATTCACCTCCTTCCCAACATATCTTCAAGCAATCTAATTCTAAACATACCATAGTACATTGCCTTTTAACTTTAGACCTTGAGTCAAGTTTCATCATCTTTAGCTAAATTTCGAATCGCATTGATCTATTAGGCCTTTAACAGGCTGATACTGCTGATGAACCATTTTTTAAATCTTATTTTGTTAGCTTTTAATTCAAGCAGGCGATTGTTTTTCCTAGACAGATCTATTTAAGGACCTGTGTAATAAAATCTAACCAAAAAAAAAAAGTTTAACATTAATATCAATAATTTTATTATTTTGTTTCAAACAATGTAATTATTTTAAAATTAACTCTGTTTCACCCAGCTCTTGCCACGAGAATAGCCTTAGCTGATGACATGTCATTCAACTTTTTAACTAGGCT